GCTGCCCCAGTGTGTGTTGGCGAACTTCACATGTCTATAAAGTATTTTTTTGTCACTTCTCACACAAGTAGGTTTCCTTACGATGTTTTCTTTTACCGACGAGCAGGTGGTAAATTAGCACTTAATATTACAATAAAAGAAACTCAAAACTAAATTATCAAAGAATTTTACTGCGGTATGGTGCTTATTACATTTATATGCTTACTGATTTTCCTCGTCTAATAGCAAGATAAATTTAACCCTCGATATGAGGCTTTCCATCTTAGTCCTCAGACGTGACAACGTATCTGTAGCCTTCTTCGTTTGAATTTGTCCATGGACTGCTGGACTGTGAGTTTGTCTGTCACTCACACTCACACTTTATAAAAAAATAGTTTTTGTTTTAGCATGAATACAGAATGTAATCTGCCGGCGCGTAATAGCCTGCAGTCGGCATAGGCTTCTCCCAATGTAGAAAGCATTTGCTATAGCCACCTCGCTTGTATAGACAACAGAATTTTGGTTATTCCTACAAGAACATATAACACAGTATTAATCTATATACATATTATTATAATAATGTCCTCCAGACCGAATTTCGGTCGCGGCGGCCAGCCTCAAAGGAGACCAGCCATCTGCGCAGAACAGGACTGTAGTGCCCAATTGTATGCACAAGCACAAGTGCACTCTCTATCCACTCACTCTCATAATCCGATGGGACGGTAAATCGACACAACCGGAGAGATATCAGGTGCAGGACCAACGGCTTTACGTGCTTTTCGAGGCACTGGTGTGAGACACCGCCGACTTTCTGACTCCGGGCAGCTGCTGAGAATTTCTTAATGAAACAACTCAATAACTGATTTTTGACCCGACCCGGGATTCGAACCCGAGACCTCATGATAGCAGTCGCATTACTACATAGATCAACTAGGTTATATATACATATATATATATATATATATATATATATATATATATATAAACGAAATATGACTGACTGACTATACGATATCTCTAAAACTATACACCCAATAGGCTTAAAACTTAGTATAGTTACTCATTTCGCAATGTGGGCCCACACTAAGAACGGACTTTAATTGCAATAGTTTGATTTTTCATGATATTTTATATCTCTTATATTAACGTTATTATCGTCCATTATTCGTGCGCCCCGCGAAGCGAGCGGGTATAACAGCTAATGTTATACATACATATAGCTTACTAATTCTATTTATAACAATAATAATCAATGATATTGCTGAATGCTTCCAGACTCCGAGTTTTTGCTTTTCGCGGATGACATGAAAGTTTTTAGAGTAGTCAACAACTCTTATGATTCTAATCTCCTACAAAACGATCTTATTAACTTAGATAATTATTGTATCCGTAACAAATTAGACTTGAATGTTTCGAAGTGTAATACTGTCTTTCGGGCGGAAGCGTGATATGCTTTATTTTTCTTACACACTTAAAGGTTTGACAGTTACTAGATGTGATAAAATAAAGGACCTTGGAGTTACTATTGATACTAAGCTTTTGTTGGATCAGCATGTGGAAGATATATATATGATAAAGCATATAAGGCCCTGGGTTTTATTTTAAGGTCTTGTTGCAAATTCCGTCAGTTAAAATCAATGAAAATATTGTTTTGTTTTCTTGTTCGTAGCCATCTCGAATATGCGTGTCAAGTATGGAATCCTCAATATAAAATATATATTAACAAAATCGAAGCGATTCAAAAAAAATTCATTCGATATGTAGGTTCTAAATTTCATATATCCAAAGGAGGCTACGAATTGCAGTGTTCTCATCTTCATCTCCTCTCGCTGCAAACTAGGCGCTATACAGCTGACCTGGTCTTACTAAGTAAAATTGCTCAAGATCGTTTAGACTGCCCTGACTTATTAAAAAGATTACATATCTCAGTTCCCTCTCGTTCACTGCGCTATTACAATCCCTTACATGTTTCTTTATGTAGATCAAATTACAGGCGAAACTCATTCTTCTTAAGAGCATGTAACTCATTTAATAAATTTTCTAAGGACCGTGATAAGGCTGACCTCTTTTCTACTAGTGGCACTACTATCTGCAAATTGATAACTTATGAATTCAGTAGCAATTTACTCTTGAACTCTTAAATCTAATCAACATCAACTGCTTATATACGTTGCATGTATTTACCCAAACCGATTACTCATCTGTGAAAACTTTTAATAGGCTTACTTTGTATATTATTTTATATACCATATAGTATTAATTAAAAGCTGTAAGTTTTCCTCTTATAAATAAATAAATAAATAACTACTCCTTTATAATGTTAGGTCCTTACTTGTAAGATTGCCATTTTTATGAAAATAGTTCAGCACTTTTTTTTCACATTTTTATTTCTAATAAAAAAATTAATTACCCATGCAATCAATGCATCTTTGCTTTTGAAGAATTGTGTAACTGTGCAGTGTATCTCTCTTCTCCAATAAAATAAAATGTATTGGAACATGGAGTCTCAAGAAGTGTGTTAGGTATTTACCAATGAAATCGCCATTTTTTTTATATATTTCATTACTATCAATCAAAGTAGTCAACCATGCAATCGGTGCAACTTTGTTAACGCAGTGGCAGTTTATTGATGCCCTTCTTGAAGAAATCAGCTGGACGGGAGGAGACAAATTCTTCAAAGGCTTACTTGTCTCTCGGGTATTTAATTATCTTCCCATCAAAAAGTTATCCAAATTCTGTAAAAAGAAGAAGTCTCTAGACGCAAGGTCTGGTGATTACAGTGAGCTTCCAATCCCAGCTTTTGTAACTTGAATGTCTGTGGTTCAGTATGAGGTCGCCCGTTGTCATGCTGAAGTAACGGGGACGAGCGATTGACCAAAGCTGGTTGGAGACGTGGAAGCTTCTCCATCATTGTGTTCAGTTTTTCACGATAAATATCTGCAGTAATGCTCATCACGTTCGGTAATAAGTTGCCATAAATCACACCGGCGCTAGGCCACCAAACAGCGACCATTATTTTCAAGGCGAAATTTTTCATATAGGGCATTGTTTAGGTACTGAACCACGATCCAACCAACTTGCAAAGCGCTTGCGATTGTAAAACGGAATACATTTTTCGTTGCAGGTAACAATGCGGTTCAAAATTCTTTCGTTTGTGTGCCTGTTGATTACATCACGCTGGCGATCATGGAGTTCGTGGGGCATCCATTTGCCAACCTTTTTTACCTAGCCAATTTAACACAAATGGACTAATATTATTTTGATGCTAACGTCTATAGCTGCTCCTAATTTAGCGGTAGGTTGAATATCATCAGCTTCCACAATCGCCTTTAATTCGTCGTTGTTGACCAAAGTTATCGGACGACCATGGGGTTTATTTTCAGGTTGAAGTATCCGGAACGGAAGTTTGCAAACAAATAACAGGTAGTGCGTTCGTTTGTAGTATTCGCTTTGTAAACGTCGTTGATGTTGCGTGCTGCTTGTGCCGTGTTGCTGCAACGAAATATACTATTATAATAATTACTCGAATTTTTAACGTATCCTACATATATATATATTTTTTACTACGCCCTATCAGGGCTCATGTTTGGCTCTAAGATATCCAACTTAAGAACTATTTATGGTAACCACATGAAAGCAATAAAATGTTTGAGTTTGTTTGAGTTTTAGTTTGAGGATAGTTTTTTGCCCATGAGTGACCAACAATTTTACTTCTGACATTGTCATCGAAAAGGACAGAATAACGTCTGCCTGGCATATATATATATATATATATATTATATATATATATATATATATATATATATATATATATATATATATATATATATATATATTGATATAAATGATTCGAATGTAACGAAAACATAAGCTAATCAATAACCAAATGACTAATTTTGAAATAAATCTATTTTTACAAATAAAATTAATTTATAATATTAGAACTCTTATCCAAACAAAAGTGCTGCAGAATGAACAGTAATGCAGACTGGCAATTTCATAGGTAAAGACTTCAGCAAGAATTTTACGCTCCAAGATAGTTTTTAAAGAACTTGTTTACTTAAAAATTTCAGGTGAAACGGTCCGAGGGGTATACGTTCTTAACCATCACATGTTCATTTACGGTCCTAACTCCTGGGTGCAGTAGAGCATGAGAGGCGAGCACGAGCAGACTGTGTCGGCACCAGACACTGCACCGTATGATGACGTCACTTGAGAGATTCTATGTAGGTTTAAACTACTGCTGCTAACTGCTCGACCACACTACCACGTAGTCCTGTGGGTTTCGTAAGAGGTGACAGAGAGAAAGAAACCAGGAAACGAGCAGCAGCGCCTCCCTAATAACAACTAAAAATAAAAAACGTTGTCTGCTAACCTGCCTGTCCAGCCTGACAAATATAACAAATATCCCCCCCCCCCTTTGAGGTTATCTAACATATTCATCAGCCCATAAAAGTTCACTGCTAGCCATAAGTTCCAGAGAAGATGGACACAATCGCCATACTTGGCTAGTGTATTGGCTATCGAAGAACCAGTTGTCTCACACAATCGACGCTACTCCTCATCCTGGTGTGGGAATACGATACGTGGTAGCCCCACGCTGAACCTATATTATGTTTGTGGCACAAATAGTTCGACCCAAGCCAACCTATTTGCTTGGCTCGCTTTCAATGAATACCAGTGTAAAATAGCAACTTATGTTTCGTGTGGTGAGTTAAGATAAACGTTGACCCTTTTTATTGCAAACGAGGCTTTCCACATTAGTCCTCAGGGATGACAACGCATCAGAATTTTGTTATTATATAGAGATAGATGTAGATATATTTAGGACATAGCATCCACTTACCGTCAAACTGTCACGCTATATTAATCCTTGTCGTAAGGACATTGACGTAATTTATATTTTGGTGTTTTTTGTAGCAATGGAGTTCAGAGATTTAGAGGATTTCTTCCGAGTGATGTGAAGCGGGGACCTCGACGATGATAGACTTTTCGTACATTTTTGCAAAAGTGGTGCCTGGATGCAATCGCTACGATGCAGAGGTGCTCTAGCTCTGAACAAGAAATGGACTAAGATATACATCATTGATCCTGATAGGGGATATCAGGTAAATAAAAGCTTGTTATTATAGTTCATTCCTGAATAAAGACCTCATAGTTACCACACATGTTGGTCGAATTGACAACTGCAGTTATTTTTTAAATTTAACTGTAATCAGGAAGATGCTGCTGCTCATCTTCTGTTTTAGTATTTTTCTTCTCTCTTTTCTTCTGTTGCCTCACACGACCCCACGGAACGATATGGGATAGTGGGTATATTTACACCGCTACTATACGGTTATGGCGGCTGCCGTGAGATCACAAAACATCTAGACCTAAAGACTATTGTTGCATAATTATATCTTTGGCCATGTAGTAGCGGTATATGAATATCCACTACCCAGCAAATCAAAGATGAGCAGCAGCGTCTTCTTAATGATAACTAAAAATAAGAAACTACGGTACTACCAAGCGTGACCACTATGGCCAATATCTATCCTATGAGACAATCTATGGGGGGCTTGTGTTCAGCAGTGGACTTTAAATATCCTGTAACGGTATCGGTATATCTTTGATATGATGTGGTAGGCTTATGTGCTTCGTAAACTGAGAGACTAGAACCACAGATACCTTTACGTAGCGTTCTACGTATTCTACTATCAAGTAGACTGAGTGCTCGTTTGTTACCCCAACTTTCATGTCAAATAATCGGAAGCCAGGTACTCTTTATATGTGTTAGAGCCACGATGAAACTATATTATGGTTGTAGCACGAATGGATCCGCTTGGCCGGGGAAGGACCACTCTCTCACAGAATACCAGTGTAAAATAGCAACTTAATACTGCTATGCTTCGTATGATGAGTGTAGAGATCCAGAGACCCTTTTTTACTGGAAATGAGGCATTCCATCTTAATCCTCAGGGGTGACAACGCATCTGCGTTTTTATTCTTAATCAAGGATAAATGTAAATGCTTAAGGGGCCACAGCATCCACTTACAATCAGGTGGACTATGTGCTCGTTTGTCACCCTTATAATAAAAAACTCTGTTATTAGTATTTTTACATTATTGATATTCTGTCACTTAATTCGTTAACCACGTGGTAGCCAATTAAAGATAATGCTGCTTTGGTATATGATATATAATTACAAGGTTATTTTTAGAAGAGTAACCAAAGCAAACCAAACAAAACATCTAGACCTAAAAACTATTATTTCATAATTATATCTTTGGCCATCTTAAACTTAAGATCAAATATATAAATAATGATATATGGTTATTGCAATTTTTGAAAGTACGAGTAAATAAAGCTTATATTTTTATTTGAAAATATTCTTCATTCAATGTGATTTATGAGAAACAACTATGCATAAGCGCGCTCTTCTGTGTGCGATTCAATTCAGAACGTTTAAACCGACTATGTGACCCTTAGGAATGTGTGCGTCTGTAGTAAAACGATAGGCGTTAGATATTTATGAATGACACTCGGTTAAAATAATGCATTACCGCGAATTCTGAATTTAAAAGTTAAAAAACACGGATTTTTTAAATGTTTTTTTTTTATTCACTTATGTTACTTATACATTCTTTTTATTGCGGGAAACCACTAAAGCATTCTTTTCCTTAACCTGATATAAACATCTACAAAGTACCCTTTTTACACTCAACTTCTAACCCTATCATTCAAGCATTATTTTTACTCTCATGCATCTTTAACACACCTAAACTTTACCACCGTACATTACACAGTCATTAATATTATTATGTTATTAATGTTTCTATTCCTTCCTAAGATTTGTTTACGAATTGAATGAGGAACAACTATGTTGGAACAAAGTAGAAGAACTTCGTCATCATGAAACAGATACCGCTGAAGCTATGTTGCAACTTAAACGTGGGGAAAAAGGATAGAATGTTACTTGGTGAGAAATTCTTTTGCTATAATAGGACTACAATATGTCAAGATTTTAATATCCTCCAGACCGAATATTAGTCATGGCGGCTAGTCTCAACGAAGACTGGCCGTCTGAGCAGGACGGGATTTTAGAGCCTGAGAGTATACTCAGACACAGGGGCACGTTCTATTCCTTCACTCACTTCTTATTATCTTATGGATGGCATGCGGACACGATCGTAGGAACATCAGGCGCAGAGCCAACGGTTTTACGTGCTCTCAGAGGTGTGGTAATATAGTACAAATACAAAAACATAGTAATCTAATATATTAAAACTTATATTTCTTTGTTGTAATTTATGCTCTGCGGTTCCGTTCATCAGATTGCAGTAAAACTTTGTAAACATATTGCTTACGCTTCCGCGAAGGTTATAGGTATAGTTGAACCCGGTAGATGGCGCTGTTGTATAATCCAGATATCACCAGTGCGAAGACAGGGCAAATCGCTAGTTTAATGGTATGGCAATTTTTCATCCAATAGTAATCAAATGCCACTAGATGGCGTTAGCTTTAGGCAAACGTAATAAACGTTCATCATCGCGCTATGAGGGTTTTCATGGTTCAGAGCAGTATATTATTATATAATTTCTAAAGTACACTAGTAGAAGGTATCATATTTCTCCTACTGGTAGAATAGAAAATAATAGAATAATATAGATAAGTATAATACGACTTCTCTAGGTGCTCACCATCAGGTCTTATAATGGTAAAAGCAGTAATGACTCAACTGGTACAGAAAAGAGCCTCTGTCCTAGAAAAAACTGGAAAGAAACCCAGCAGGATTTTTTTCTAATAGTCACTTATAGTTTGTTTAAAATTAAATATTAAATATCATTAAAAAATTAAAAAAATCTATTACCTTATTCATAGGTTGATTATCAATCATGTATTCGTTAATATTATTATAACCTTGGATAGCCATTTTCTTCGGCAACTTATTCTACTACTGATATGGAATAGGTGGTTACATATGGTATGTTTTCTTATAAATATGGTTTTATATCGCCATCTCGTTCATCATTTATGTTTTCATTAATTTGATTATTTTTATTCAGCCACGACGACATACAGTTTTGTTGTATGGGACTTTTACAATATCATACCAAGAGGCAACCATATCAAGGATAAGAAGAAGGGTGAAGACAGGGAAAAAGACGAAGAAGTAAGAATCGAACCTATAACTAAAATAATTTGTTTCTTTTTTCTTGTAAACAGTATAAAGTCCCTCTTTCCTAGTTTTGGTTACGGCGGCCAGCTTTAAAAAAGTTTTAAAAAAAGAGAGACTAGCTATCAGCGCAAGACAGAATTATAGTGCCCAAGTGTAATGCGCAAGCACAGATGTACTTATTCCTTCTCCCTTACTTATATCGTTTATACGGACGGTAATTCGGCACGACCGGGGAGAGATCAGGCGCAGCACCAACGGCTTTATGTGCTTTATGTGGTTGAGACACCGTCAACTACCTTACTCTGGGCTGCTACTGAGAATTTCTTCACACAAAACCCCAATAACTAATTTTAGTCCGACCCGGGATTCGAACCCGGGATATCATGATCAGTTATCGCGTTTAAGGCCAGAACCACTAATTCTATTACTACTTCTATTTTTTTTATATTTAGAAGAGAGGGCTAACGAGCATGCGGCTCATCTGATAGTAAATGACTACCACCGCTCATGAACTATTTTGACAGTAGTCGAATGGCGGATTTGAACCCATGACTTTTTAAATTACAGTCCACTTATATATACTTACTACATAAGTATAAGATTTATTCTCTAAAAGGCCCGCCACATCCCGCCAGCCACCCGTCACCCATCCACTATAATTTTCCGTACGAAATTTTGCGGGCAAAATAGAATTACGTATGTGTGTGGCCGACCCGTTCGTTCCGCTTCGGAATTCCGAAACGGAATTCCGTATGTAGTCTGTGGGAGGCCTTAAACTGTTCTCACTTTTTTGTAATGACTTATGACCTTAAGGCCCGCCAAATATATACGATATTCCGTTTTCGGACTCCGTATGTACGATTCATAAGAAGAATATATGCTCGTTCATACATACGAAGTCCGTATGTATTGCTGCGTTCGGACTCCTGAATCGTATTTCGAAGCGGAATCCCGAAACAGAATGCCGTGTTTATGTGACCGCCCTAAAACTTATTATATTTTAAAATAGGTATCATGCTTAATTTTAACTTTTTAAATTAATTCCCTAAACGTCGATATATACAAAGGTCAAAAATAAAAGCGATATCTTAAAATAAATGTTATTTAATATTTTAGAATGTTCTGTAATTCCTTTTTTAAGGCGCTACCTCCAGCGAACGACCTTGAGCGTTTGGTCTGTCGACGCTCGCTACAATATATTGCGTAAGAAATCGCCAAAAGACGCCACCTACTGCTACGAACGTAGTATTATTTTTTCAATGTCAATGAACTATTCTATGGAAATAGACACGGCGTACATTGATAAATGTATTTTAATTTTCTTTATTCGGTATATTAGTTGCATTATATTAGAATTATGTATTCTCATATATTATCTAATTAATAAAAATGACTATTTTGATTATTTTTAACTATATACTATACTGCTAATATTGAATTAGCTTTTTTATAGTGTAAATTATAATATTTGTCGAAATGTTAATTATGGATTCGAACTTTACATGCTAATGGTGCTTCATTTTTGTTATTTTCATTTACTTACATATTGAAAATATACTTGAATAGTAGTTATTATTATTTTATTTAGCTACTGAATTTTAGGATATGTTTTACCTTGAGGTCAAATATAATTTTGAGGAGCAATAGTTATTACCTACTAATCTTTTATCTGCTATTCCTTATTTAGGAACAATATTAGTAAATTGAGTTTGAGGGAGATTTACTGTTTATAATGCTACATTTATTATTTTAATATTTACCTACTGGGTAGGTAATTATTAAAATAATAAATATAGCATTAGTAACTAAATATTTTTTTTTAAATTTTTAAAATTAAAATTTTCGTATTTTTAAAAATTACTAAAAAAAATGTTTGAAATAATATATTTTCTCACAAAATAAGGGAACTTGAAAAAAAAAAAGGAAAAAAAAGCGGGACCAAAGCCAAGACGCGAACCACGGAACTCCGATATCACGCCCGACCGACATACCACCTGAGCTATAACGACCGTTAATGATTCGTCGAAATTTACCTTCTTATATTGTAGCAGTTTTTTTATTGCCTGAAAACATGGACAAAAGGACATTTTCTAAAAATAAATCCAAGCGTTCGTCGCTAAAATCGTTGGAGCCGTATAATTTTCTCATCTGGTTCGGTTATATAAATATTTAAATATATAAAAATTATAAATTAAAATGAAAAGATAAATTTATTTATTTTATTTTATTGATATTTATGTATATTTATCTTTTCATTTTAATTTATATTTATAAAAACCAACCAGATGAGAAAACTATACAGATACCCCAACAAAAATAATATAATAATAATAATATTCCACAAATATCACACAACGCCATCTAGTCCCGAGCTAAGCAGAGCTTGTGTTATGGGTACTAGACAACTGATAAACATACTTATTTTACTAATTTCTAAATACATAAATATTATAGATAAATTACACCCAGACACAGAACAAATGATCGTGCTCATCACACAACCATTTGTCCTGGGTGGGAATCGAACCCACGACCTGCGGCATAGCAGTCAGGGTCACTAACCACTAGACCAACAGGCCTGACGATAAATAAAATAAAGTCTTTAGCTCGAGAGGAGAGGAACCGTGGTAGCTCAGATGGTTAGCGCTTGCTAAAATTTTCACATTGTGCGAGCAAACCGGGTTCGATCCCCGCCGTCACCAATAATATTGTAATTGCAATTTTAAGTGTTGATTTACCACGTGCTCAGTGGTGAAGGAAAACATTGTGAGGAAACCTGCATGTCTGAGAAATAAGAAAAATAATATTTCGAAGACATGCAAAGTTCGCCAACACGCAGTGGGGCAGCGCGGTGGATAATTCCTTTCCTAGGACCCTTTCAGAAAATAGAATAGAAATAAAAAAATAATAAATCCAAACTTCATTTAAAACCAAACATATAAATTGTATAATAGCTGCAGGTATCTATAACCAAGTAAAAGATATTCCTTTACTCCAACTTGTCCATGTTTCCCAAAACAATTTTTAATTGAGCTTTATATTATAATGCGGATTTTTTATATTTAAAATTTTAATAATAAAGCATTTCGTACGTCTCAGCCGAGGCGCAAATATTTTTCGGCCGCAAATTTATAAGACCGATTTGTTATTCAAACATAAACATGGTTTTTTAATTAAATCTACCAATCATAAAACGACACGCATTTTTATTGAACACTTCCTATTCAATTCACAAAGTACCTATTATATATTTGTTTATATAAAAAAGTATATTTAAGTACAATCATAAAGCTAAATGGAAACACAAAGTAGGAAAATGCATTGAGTTATAAAACACATAAATCAATGGGCAAATGTAAAAATACTGGAGGCAGCAGCCCTATCGCATGTTTACGTACCGCACGGCTGTAATATTTATTTCTAAGATACGGCCGAGTTACAATATACCGTGACGTAAGCGCATCGGTTGGTAGGTACTCAAATAATATTATGTTTGCGGCGAAATACTGAACGCGGCGACCAGCGACGCGGCTACCTCCTACTAACGCATACAGTGTAATGCCGCCCGCACTCTGCGCACGCCCCTTTATCATAGAAGTCGCACAATTTTCGGAATTATTTCAATTAAAAGAGAAAAAACGAACTTAAAAATTTTAATAAAACGTGGAGAATATAGATTTTTTTAATTATCTATCCATTAGTGTTATCCTCAAATGATTAGAGATTTTAAAAGTTGATTTTAAATGTATTTATAGCACATAAAAGTAAATTAGAACGTGTAATAATGATGATAAGATATCGAACATTAATAATGTACTTTTAGATGTAGTTTATTTTTCATAACTAATGAGATAATAGAGTCTGAAAAACGCACTTTCGCAACATTTTGGTCAGGGATTCACCTTAAGCTATTGCATAGCTTCTATCGCGGGCCTTGAGCGCGGGGACCGAATCCAAAAATTCCGTAACGAAAAAAACCTCACGCTCCCCACTCCAACGGGCACGGAGGTGTGGCGTTGAAAGCCGTGCATCGTCTAACGCCGTTTTAGTTCGGCAGACTTCGGCACTCGGCAGAGTTTGGCACGGTGTTTGTGTGCGTGCGACTAGACGTATGCGTGTACACTAGCTGCTAACTGAATGATAAAAATTCCTGAATAACCTACATGTATTGTAAGATATTAAAAATATTTTAAACAATATTAACTTCTCATTTATTCAATAAGAGAAAAAAAATTGTTTTCTTATCGGTCACCACTCTCAAAAAGTGTAACTTGATTTAATATCAAAGACTTAACTGCATAAATAAAATAAATAAATAATTATAATTGCATAAGTTGATAAAAAATGCTATGCAATAGCTTTACCGCGGCAGTCACCGAGTGCCACACGTATTTTTTTTTTCCTTTGGGAATTCTTTTAAATATGTACGACCCTCTAGCTGACATCTACCATCAAACAGCAGTGCGTGCCCTGTGTTCCTGTCTAAAAGGTTAAGAGAACCTGTAAAATACAGGCCGTGAGGCTTACCCGTCCGTCCGTCCGGCCGTGAACTCAGTCTTTCAAAGTGAAAATGAATCTTTAGCCCAGTAGCATTACCATCACGTGTACTGTAAACTCCTTTGCACTTCAAATTTATAAAAAAATAAACTTCATATTATTTACAAGGAAGATAAAATAGACGAAGTCTCGGAGAAAGATCTTAGACTGGAAGGGATATTATTGAAGTTGCCTCACAGCATCCATAATATTTCGACTAAATTGACGCAGTCCAACTCATTTATAATCAGCAACAACAACACTTTTGCTGTAGCTGGAGTCAGGTGTGTAGCCCGTGTTTTCTTTGTAAGTTTATACTATATATCCATAAACATTCACACCTGTCACCCAGAAGGATAGGCAGAGACTACGGACTTCTATTTGGCACGATCCTGACACACATCAACGCCTCCTTTGCATTCATATAACTACGCATATTCGTACACGCTTGTTAGTTGAGGGTATTATTGCTAATCTGGCTCGTTTTCAAGTTATTGTCAATTTAGTCGATAAACCTTCATCTAGGGCGTTCCTTTCCGACTCTACCGCTCATATCTGTAATATAAATTTGCTTTCCTCGTTCATTCTTTCTAGATGACGAAACCACCGAAGCATTCACAACACAGCTAGAATAAAAATACGAAATTGGTTGCTTACGCTTAGTTATGAACAAACAGAAAAGCTGTTTCAAACATTGTCATAGTAGCTACGTGCTCAATATTGATATTGATATTGTTATTATAGCAGTAATTGCAAATTCAAAATACTGTAATATTAACAAATTATAATATCTATGTGTGTGTATGTATGTATATGTGATGTATGTATATATGATATATATATGTATGTACCCTTAGCTATTTGACAGTCATTCGCTTTTTGGTCTTAATGCACATTTAGAACGCGAAGCAAGAGAGTTGCGCTTTGCTGTCAACTTGATAAGTTCACGCTAACCACTCTCATTAAATTCGGTATATTATATTTATACCGCACTAATACGTGAAGATAGGTACAATAATATTAACAGGAAAATATTTTTAAGGGAAACACACTGCATTATATAGCACTAATAAGTATTTGAACATTTATATAGTAATGTTCTTCAGACAACACTTCGGTTACGGCGGCCAGCCTCAAAGGAAACTAGCCATCAGCGCAGGACAGGATTATAGTGCCCAAGTGTATGCGCAAGCATAGGCATACTCTATTCCCTCACTCTCGTAGACCGATGGAACGGTAAACCGACATGATCGGAGAGATCAGGCGCGGGACCAAATGGTTAACGTGTTTTCCGAGGTACGGGGTTGAGACACCGCCAACTTCCTCCGGACAGCTACTTCCTCTTGACAGTTTCTTGGCGAAAAAACTCCTATAACAGATATTTTTTATGGACCGACCCGGGAAACCATAATATAACTATACTATGACCACTACAAAACACTCCAAACATCAGAAATTTCAATTAATTTAAACTTAAAAACGTAATTAATATTAAAGTACTGTTTTAGGAAAAATCTCTACGTATGGAGTTTGGAAACAACGCAACTGATTAAGATCTTGGACGCGCATTTCGGAAGAATCGTCCAACTAGAACCCTTAACGGTCGGCGCTTGACGACCCTTAACGAATCGTCTCGCACGCAGATTCGACGACTTCCAGCCACCCAAATAAGCCGGTTTCCGAAAAGGTTTCAGTACCATAGACCACATACATACCCTGCGGCAGATTGTACAGAAGACGTAAGAGTACAATCTGCCACTTTGCCTGGCATATGCGGACTATGAGAAAGCCTTCGATTCCGTCTAAATTTGGGCGGTGCTACAGTCCCTTCAGTGGTGCCAAGTTGACTGGCGGTATATCGAAGTGCTGAAGTGTTTGTACAGTAGGGCTACGATGGCTATCCAAGTACAGAACCAGAGTTCGAAACCTATCCAACTGCAGGGAGGTGTAAGACAGGGTGACGTTATATCCCCGAAACTCTTCACCGCTGCGTTGGAAGACGTTTTCGAGCTACTGGACTGGAAAGGATACGGTATTAGCATCGATGGTGAGTACATCACTTACACGTACACGCCTTATGGCAGAATCGCTGGAGGACCTAAGCACTATGTTCAATGACTTCAATGTTGTCTCCCAACGGATAGGTCTTAAGATGAACATGGACAAAACAAAGATCATGTTTAATGTCCATGTCACACCTATGCCGGTAGTTGTTGGGAGCACTATGCTCGAAGTAGTTGACGAGTACGTTTACCTGGGACAAATAGTCCGACTAGGTAAGTCCAACTTCGACCGAGAGGTCAATCGACGGATTCAACTCGGCTGGGCAGCGTTCGGGAAATTACGACACATCTTCTCGTCAGGTATACCTCAATCTCTGAAAACTAAAGTGTACAACCAGTGTGTGTTACCAGTGATGACTTACGGATCTGAGACGTGGTCCTTCACTGCTGGCCATATGAGGATGCTCAAAGTTGCTCAGCGAGCTATGGAGATGGCTATGCTCGGAGTTTCTCTTCATAATAGACTCGGAAATGAGGACATCCGCAGTAAAACCAGAGTGACTGACATAGCCCAACGGATTAGTAAACTGAAGTGGCAATAGGCCGGCCACATAGCTCGAAGAACCGATAACCGAAGGGGAAGAAAGGTTCTCGAGTGGCAGCTTCGTACCGATAGGCGTAGTGTGGTGCGACCTCCCACTAGATGGAGTGACGACCTGGTAAGTCATGCAGGAAGTCGTTGGATGCAGGTGGCTCAGGACCGTGCTTTGTGGCATTACTTGGGGGAGGCCTTTCTTCAGCAGTGGACTTGTGAAGGGCTATAATGATGATGATGATGATTGTACTGGATAATGTAACAAAATTATGCTTAATATATTAAAAAAGGAATTATAAGAAATGTCGCCGAATGCCGGGACCAATAAAATTGTAAAAGATCATTTACCACGTGTTCGACGGAGAAATAAATCATTATGAGGAAGCCTCATAATATTTAGTGGCAGTTTAAAATTATCTACTATCTAATAACATCCCAAAATGGCCATGTTTACGAGTGCCATAAGAGGTGACTGAAGGTAGCTGAATCAGGAGATTGGGCAGCAGCATCTTCCTGAAAACACCTAAATAAAAATAAAACAATGCCGTTGCCAACTCGCTTGCCAAGCGAGGGAACTATGTCAAATATTACTAGGTAAGTCTGCGTGTAGCAGTAGACTTTTGATCTGGTTACTTACTTGAACAAATGCATTCAGTGTTGTGTAGTCCAGGATGGTGCAAAATGATGCGATCAACTGGTTTGGTATATTCGTGTGAATTGAACGTGGTTTATGATCGTAGTACATTTGCAGTTTAATACTAGTAATATATCAATAGTGGTACAGCCACGCTGAAGCCATATTATAGTTTTACCACAAATAAGTCGGCTCAATCGGTAGAACCATGTTCTCACATAATAACAGCGTTAAATAGCAGCTTGATGCTGCTGTATTTCGTATGGTGAGCTAAAAGAACCCAAGTACCTTTTAACTGGAAACGAGACATTCTATCTTAGTCCTTAGCGGAGAAAACGCTTCTCCATTTTGATCTTAATCGAGGATAAACGTAGGTGTCTAATGGGCTACAGCGTACACTTTTCATCAACTGTGTGTTTTTGTTTATCACCCTTATTCTATAAAAGACATATATTTAAAAGAGAGTAACGTACATATTGTGTTCGTTCACGTAATGTTTATGTGTAATGTTTACGAGTTTATGTGACGTGTCCCAAACAATATTATTTTTAGGCACATAAGGAAATATAACCCTGTCACGTCCCTAACACGTGCGAACGTGATCTTAAGTTGGATCTGTCGTAATTCTACACTTCTACTCTTACAGGGATCCTTCTTTGTTAACAATTGGGTCTCTTCTTCAGCTTCTAAAATGTCACCACTTTATTAACTATTGCTCGTGCTATTTCGTCACTGACTTGGCCCGAAGATTCTTTGACATGCGCTTTTGACTTGAATACGTCTTTAAATTTGCTTCCACTACGTGAGACGTTTCAGAAAACTGATTATAACAAAATCGAGGCATAGAGTTTGACGTGGCAGCAACATTTCTATCATCTACATCCACAATTTAATTATATTACTCCATAGCTAAAGGATCAATAAATTCGTTACGTTAAGTGCCGGCTGTGATGTGGCAGCGCCGCCATTTTGAAGTCTTTTCGCTAGGTACGATTCACGTGATACGTGTTAACGACACAGCCATATCCCGAATTTTTGAGTGTGGATTGCCTTAAGTTTTCTCTTTTGTAATAGCACCTTTTAAGTTCCCACGGCAATTGTCCAAACTCTAGCACATAAATAATAATTGTATGCACTACAAATTCTAGTCTGGCAAAAGACAAACAGCTTGCAGTGACAGTGACCCGCAGTTGTTGGGGCCTTTGGGACACCAGTACAGGAAGACTCTTGGCACAGCTGGCTGACGCTCCACTGGGAGCGATTGTCACCCACGCTGTGATCACACCCGCTGGCGATAGTGTGATAACTGCTGAGTCGGGTAATGTTGTGATTTGGGATATCGCAGAGAAACAGGTTTGTTAATTTCGTAAACTAAGTCAATTCTTTATTTTATTAAGTCTACTCCTTACCGTGTAGTGGCGGTGTAAGAATATCCACTACCCATGTCGTTCCGTGGCTACCATAAGAGTCAACGGAGGGAAACCAGAAGATGGACAGAAGCATCTTTCTAATAACAACTGAAAAATTAAAATGATTGCCAACACGCCTCCCAAGCGGGCCAACTAAAACCCTTTCCGACTCTGCCATTCACTTCTGCAGCATAAATTTTCTTCGTAACTCTTTCCTCATTCATTCTTTCCATATGACCAAACCACCGAAGCATTCCTTTCTTAATCATGCTCAAAACATAATCTTGCAAACCACACTCTTCTCTTATCACACAATTTCTCACCCTTTTTTTTTTTTTGTAACATGGGGAAATGCCTACGCATACCCGCCTCGCGGGGGCAAGGACGGGTTATGTCGGACTCACACCGACCAAAACCCCATGGTGTTCCACCTTCGTCGCATATTGGCAGGGCTACGGGAACGCTTTCGCACACATCCGCGGCCCCACCAGCGACTGCCGCCCCATGGCAGCACCCCATCGGGAGAGGAATATTCCTACCCGTTCTCCTTCCCAAGTAAGGCGCACCAGAACACATGGCACGCCTTCCTCCACGGCCTCCAATTACATCTGCGTAACAGACGCCCCCGCGTCCGATGCGCGAAGGCCATGGGGCCAGGAAAAACGAGCACTTAGAAGCACTAGCCTTCCCGACCCCAGCGGCGGATCTGGTCTATGGCTCCGCCGCCAACCAAGATTCGGCTGCGGAGGATAGGGAGAGCGGCGCCTCGCAATACCGACAATCCTCTCCCCCCCGCAGCCCCATCACCACCGCATCAACGGTGCGGCCCCGTTTGAGTCGCGGAGGATAGGGCGAGTGGCGCATCGCCATACCAACACTCCTCTTCCTCCGCGACTGCACCTCGGCTGCAGCGGTAGGTGGGGAGGACACACCTCTCACCGCAGTCCACCAACACACATCCGAAGTGGGCTTCCCAAGCCCACTCGGAGTGGCCACCTCGGGCCGGCCCTCCACCTCGGACCAGCCATATGGGTTCCTCTTTGTTTCGCCGTGGGTGACCAAGCCACGGCTTCTAAGCCCCCCCGCCACGACAAGGCGGGAACCCGTTCGGGGGGGTACAATTTCTCACACTAAAGACAATTCAGATTCAGCCTTAGCATACTCCTTAATGACCGCATTTCTACTGCGTTTATTCTACTCTCGTGCTTCTTCTGCCATACCCAACTTTCACTGCCATACGTTAAAGTAGGGACCAACACAGCATTGTGAATTGCCATCAAAAAAAAAGAGTCAAAATGTGTCAAAAAAGGCTTTTTGACACATTTTGACTCTTCACAAAAGCGTGTAGGCCCATTCACTCTACTTCCTAATAATTATTATTAATAGGATTTTTTATAGAAGAGTGGGCAAACGAGCATGCGACTCACCTGACGTTAAGTGACTACCGCCGCCCATGATCAACTGCAACACCAAGGGAATTGCAGGTGCGTTGCCGGCCCTTTAGAAAGGAGTAAGCTCTTTTCTTAAAGGTCCCCAGGTCGTATCGGTCCGAAAAATTCGCCATAATACAGCGGTATTATGTTGCTATTTTAACGCTGATATTTAGTGAGAACGTGATACTTCTCTGGTCGAGCCGCAGCATAATTCTACTACATTTAATAATAATAACACTACTTCGAAAAACTCAATTAAAACAATTTTTAGATTGTGTTCAAAGAGGAACAGAAAGGTGTAAAGCAAGTGCTCCTTCTAGAAGATGGAACCAAATTCATCACGATCTCAATGCAAGTGCCGATAGACAACAACGATAACTTGGCTGTGGCCATTATTGTTGCCAGGACGATTCCCGGTCAGTGTGATAATAGTCCTAATTCGTTTTAACATTTTTAAATATTTTTCTCTCGGATATAAATGATATCCACTTATAAAATACACAGCAATTACATCGGTTCCGTAAGAGGCGCTATAGATAAATTAAACGGAAATGGTGGAATAGCAATATCCCGATAATAACTTTAAATAATAATATACTAAGGTGTAGGTACTATATTCCGCATGCCAAGTGCCAAGCATTCCCAAACGTATGGGAAATATCCTTCCTATGAGGCAATCAGCTATTAACTTTTGATAAGCTGTTGATGATATAAATTACAGATATGGAAATTAATACTGTTACGCGCTCCAGTCAACGATACACTAGCGCCATCTAGTGTCAGGAACGAGAGCGAGGGGAGCATTGAGAAAATGACATCACAAATTACTCAACCGACAGCGCCTAGTCGAAACTCGAACGCTCGGTACCTTGCCCGTGGTTACTTGAACATTCTGGATATTTCTTTACTAATTTAAATATATAGGCGCTGCAAGATGCGATCGGGGCAGAGTGAACTCGGCGACACAAGCGAAGCTTCGGAGTGGAATTAAGTGAATTAGTGTGTTTAAATTATTAGTGTTTTAACTTTAATTGTGTAAAGTAAATTAAAGTGTTAATTTAGGTAATTTTATCGGCAATTTTTATTGTCACGAACCTCAAGCTCGTAACAATTGGTGTCAGAAGTGGGATAAAATCATGCCGATTTTACCTAAGGAGGAAACGGAGGGTGTCCGAACCCGAAGTCAACGCCAGCAGGAGACGGACCAACGAAGATTTGGTGGTGCAACGCCGCAGACGTCGGAGGGCCAGCCACCGGCTGAAGGCCCGTCGGTAGCTCCTACATCTGCAGCACCTGACTTAGGTGCTCTGATGGTGATGCTGCAGGAGCAGGCTCGCCGACAGGAGGAGCAGGCTCGCCGACAGGAGGAGCAGGCTCGCCGACAGGAGAGCAGGCTCGCCGACAGGAGGAACAGGTCCGTCAGTTGAAAGAGCAGCTGCAGAGCGGACAGGAGGGACAGGCCCGCCGATTGGAAGAGCAGCTGCGGGGCGGACAGGAGGAACAGACCCGCTGACAGAAGGAACAGGCCCGTCGTTTAGAAGAGCAACTCTAACGCGATAAGGAAGAGCAGATGCTCCTCATGAAGGACCTTCACGCTATCTTCGGAAAAGAGATACGGGAGGTGAAGGATAAGGTTGCTCAACATGACAACCGCCTGTCGGAGGCCGAAACCCGAATCGACCAAGTAAACAATCGGGTTGACAACGTAATGGCTGACGTGAAGAAAACGCTGGACGACCTCAAACTTGGGGATGGAACAACAGCTCCCGTAGTAGCTACAACACCTTCGCTACGTGGATTCAAAGTGCCGCCGTTCGACGGGACCTCTTCCTGGTCGTCCTACAAAATCCAGTTCGAGGCCGTCATGGAGGCAAACGGCTGGAATAAAAGCCAAGCCATGACTGCACTCACCCTAGGCCTGCGCGACCAAGCCTTAACTGTGTTGGAAGCTCTCGGTAAGAAAGTGACTTATGAGCAACTCCTTGAGGCATTGGAGGCGAGATATGGCGACGCTCACCTGGAACACGTCTTTCGTGCGCAGCTTAAAGATCGTGTGCAGCGCATCAACGAAAACCTGCAGCAGTGGGCTCTAGAGGTGGAGAAGCTGGTGCGAAAAGCTTACCGGTCTGTACCTGCGCTCATTAAAGGGAACCTGGTGCAGACATTTATCGACGGCATCCGTGACCTGGAAGTCGGAGCTGCTGTGAGGCTCGGGCACCACGAGACGCTTAAGGACGCCTTGGCCCATGCACTGGAGGTAGAAGCCGTGCGGCAGGATCATCGTTCCCATCGCGTCAGGGAGGTTGCAGCCGCTACAGTTCGCGACCGCAACAAAGGATACAGCCCAAGGTGCTATGGCTGTGGGGAAAAGGGCCATCTTCGAATCAGCTGCCCTAAGCGAACCGTTGAAAGGAGAGTTGATCGATCTCGAGAGGGTAGTGCAGCTAACGACACTGCCTGGCGGCGACAGGATCATCGTTCACCTCACGCTAGGAAGGTTACAGCAGTTACGGTTCGCGACCACAATAAAAGATACAGCCCTAGGTGCTATGGCTGTGGGGAAAGGGGCCATCTTCGGTCCAGCTACCCTGAGCACACCCTACGAAGGGAAGGTGAACGGTCTCAGAAAGGAAGTGCGGCTAACAGCACCGCCCAGCAGCAGCAGGAATACGACTTTACTATCAGACACTGCAGCGGGAAATCTCACGGCAACGCAGATGCATTGTCAAGAAGACCTTGTCCTGAAGATTGCAACCATTGTAGTAGGCAAGAGAGTAAGGAGGTGGTATCCGTGAGGATGCTCAGGACAGACCACCTCAGCAACGGGTGGAAGGACAACCTACGACATGCACAGCAGGAAGATCCGGACATCAAGCCGATTCTGGGATGGATGAAGGCCCGTGCTACCAAGCCTAAGTGGAGGGACGTCTCAGCGATGAGTGAGAGAGATTGCTGATTCAGGATGGAGTCCTGTGCCGTAAATGGGACAATGGTCGAAGAGACAGCTGTCGTTTGCAAATGGTTGTCCCTAAAGCTAAAGTGCCGAATGTTCTACAGTTGTGGCATAATGGTCGTTCAATAGTCCATCTGGGAGTTAAACGAACTCTACTGAAGGTCCGAGAACAGTTTTACTGGGTCCATTATCGTGACGATGTCGAGGATTGGTGTCGTACATGTACAAGTTGTGCGTCCGAGCGGGGACCTCGGACACGTAGTAGAGGAGCACCGAAATTGTACAATGTTGGTGCACCACGGGATAGGACAGCCCTTGACATTGCGGAGCCGTTACAGAAAGGCGCAAGAGGGACTCCTAAGATCGTCCATGTGAATCGCTTGGCGCGTTATTATGGGGCCGATAATGCTCGGGACGAGCATGTCTTAGGAGGGGCAGTGTTACGCGCTCCAGTCAACGATACACTAGCGCCATCTAGTGTCAGGAACGAGAGCGAGGGGAGCATTGAGAAAATGACATCACAAATTACTCAACCGACAGCGCCTAGTCGAAACTCGAACGCTCGGTACCTTGCCCGTGGTTACTTGAACATTCTGGATATTTCTTTGCTAATTTAAATATATAGGCGCTGCAAGATGCGATCGGGGCAGAGTGAACTCGGCGACACAAGCGAAGCTTCGGAGTGGAATTAAGTGAATTAGTGTGTTTAAATTATTAGTGTTTTAACTTTAATTGTGTAAAGTAAATTAAAGTGTTAATTTAGGTAATTTTATCGGCAATTTTTATTGTCACGAACCTCAAGCTCGTAACAATACTTATACCATGGTTTTGGTACTTAGGGACTTAATATTTCAGGGATGTCTTCAGTTTCATTGTACGTGAGTTCAAGGTCGAACGACCTACATTGACTCTACTGAAATGGTTTATTGAAATTTTAATTGATAGTTACCACGTCCTCGACGCAGAAGGGAAAAAACCAGTGATAAAATCTGCAATGTCTAATATGTTAAGAAAATGTCAAACCACAATTTAAGAAATAAGAGGAGATCTGTGATGAGTCTGTGTGAGTGTGATGAGTGGGACATAATACAGGACATATTGCATTTTTATTAGTATTTAGTGTTTTTTTTTAATTGTTTAAAAATAAACAGTTTGTAACTATACAGGCTTTCTATATACCACACAGTCTACCTGATGGTAAGTGGGTGCTGTGGCCCATAGACATCTCCATTTAACCTCGATTAAGAATTAAAATGAAGATGCGCTATCACCGATGCAGTTCCAAGGCACACCAGCCCCTACTTTTTGAGTAAGTCTCTTCTAGCTAGAGGGGGGCTCGAGCTTCTAGGGCCCCTCAAACCTCGCGCTCGCCGGCGAGTACGGTGTACGGTGTGCGATCTATACATGGAGGTGATCTCATCATAGGGGTCGAGAAGGTCGTTCCAGAGACGTCTCCTGGTAGGAGCAGCATTCCTTATCTAAGGACTAAAATGGAATGCCTCGATTCCAGTAAAACGGGTCGCCGATTCTCTACACTCACAATACGAAACACAGCAGCATTAAGCTACCATTTTACGCTCGTATTCTGTGCGAGCGTGGTCCTACCCCGATCGAGCCGACCCATTCGTGCTACAACCACAATATACCTGCAGCGTGGCTCCACCACGTTTAAAAAACTGACTTTCTAGGTTTACACGGCTGTTTTACGATAAAAATAGGTAAGAGGGTGACAACCTATCCACACGGTCTCCTATAAAGAAAAGAGAGGGTAGACCTCTTGCCTTAGCGAAAAGCGAAGCAGCGAAAGCGTGACTTTATCACTTAAAGCAAGATAGTACTCTAATATAGCAATCGAAGAAAGTATTTATCATCAGATTAAGTCAGTGGGTAGTGGGATTTTATGGGCTAATAAAGATGATGATGATGATGAATAAAACAAGGTGCTCATTGTAATTTCCTTGTAGACGGTGAAAAGATCTACACTGCGGATTACGAGCTAAGAGGAACAGGTTACAGAGCTGCGGTAGTGTCAGCGGATGAACACCACGTGGAAGCCCCTGGTGTTGATAAATCTTCTAGAGATTGTCTCCACGTATTTCACGCTAGAACTGGTGCTAGACTCCATAGGTAAGGTGTTTTAGATAATTATTTATCATTCGAGATCGAGATCTACTGCAGATTTTCTTCCGTAATACCTATTAAAGAGTGACCATTTCTTTCTTTATCCCGTTAAGGTAATCAAATATCCTTTATTACAGCTGTCATTTTAAATCTACCAAACGCTTCGTCCGCTTTTAGGCGGCATTTGAAATCCTAAAAAATAATCGTGCGAAAAAGTTCCCAACGCAGATCCATTTTCAATAGAATAAGATTTTTCAATTGAGCTTCTAAGAAAAATATAGAGGAAAGTTTGAAGTTGGAAAATCCGTATTTTTACTTGTAATTTATAAAGTTGTAAAAATGTATAACTTCAGACTTCAGTTATTTTTGGTTATTTGATATTGCACGTTGCACCTATCCGTAAAAATATAAAATTACAATGTCTTTTTCTCTTCGGTTTGTCAGGTAGAAATCGCTTAAAGCGATATGATCACCGTTTGTAGTTTCTAAGTGTACCGTTAATGTAATAACTTTTTTAATAAAGGGTTATCTATCTATCTAACTCGCCAGTGTCTTATACAAAAAAGCTTTATTCGCAAAACTTTCTGCGTGCTATAATATTGCATTGAGCTGTGATATGCTATAACATAGAACTAAAACGTCACCTCACTCTCCGCGAGAATCAATACCAAAGCGGGAAGAATTTAAAAAAAACAACCTGCGGCCAACCTCGTAGGTGTCTTGTCGTTAATTGGCGGGATGAACCGCGGGTGCTTTTACTTTTTGATATTGTTTTTTTTAAAGCTAAATTCTAAACAAATTTATAAAATGTGATCTCAAGTTGACCTATAAAAGTAATAAGCCTTTTCCTTTGATGTAAATTTTACACAACTTTCATTTTGGAATTTCCGCAATGTATACGTTTAAAAAGCGATTTGATCTTTGATTACTTTTTATCAAGCGAACTAGTATGATTCGTATTTCTGCCTTCAAAAAACTTTTGTATATTCATTTTTCATAAAATGATTTTTGTGTGTTTGAATTACATTTCAGTAGATTAACAGAGAGATGAGCCGTGGTATCTCAGAGGCTAAGCGCTAGCTATAAATTTCACAGTACGCGAGCAACCTGGGTTCGATCCCCGCCGGCACCAATGAAACTGTTAATTGCAGTTTTAAGAACTGATTTACCACGTATTCGGCGGTAAAGGGAAACATCGTGAAGAAATAAAAAAAATTATTTCGAACACATGTGAAGTTTGTCAGCATGCATTGGGGCAGCGCGGAAGACATTTCCTTGCCCTAAAACCCTCTCTGAAATGGAGAGAAGGCCCGTGCCCAGCAGTGCAAGTTAGTGTAGTTACAGCCTATATATGTCCAGCATATACGGTTGTAACTTCAACAGGGATTTGAAAATGTAAAAAGAACTGCAGCGTTGCCTTATATTATCATCAGGAGTTTCTTCGACCTTATATTTAAAAGTTCTTCAAGTATTCTATTCTCTTTCTCAGTAATCGCAACAATTTTACCGACTTCAAAAAGGAGAGGGTATTCAACTCGACTGTATGTTTTTGACTTCCCGCTAAGAAAATTTTCAAAAATCGGCAAGTTATTGTTTTTACCCCGTTTTTCGAAAATTGAAGTTTCATCAAATCTTGACTTTTTTGAGGTCACAGGAAGCCCGATTGCACGAAGCACAATTTTTAGATAGTGTCTGTATGGACGTGTGCGTGTGCGTGCGCGTGTGCGTCGCGCGTTGCGTGTGCGTGTGTGTGTGCGTGTGCGTGTGCGTGTGCGTGTGCGTGTGTGCGTGCGCGTGTGCGCGTGTGCGTGTGCGTGTGCGTGTGCGTGCGCGTGTGCGTGTGCGTGTGCGTGTGCGTGTGCGTGTGCATGTGCGTGTGCGTGTGCATGTTCTTGTGCTTGTGCTTGTGCTTGTGCTTGTCTTGTGTGCGTACGCGTGCTCGTGCACGTGCGCGTGCGTGTGTGTGTGTGTGTGTGTGTTGTGTTGTGTGTGTGTGTTGTGGATGTATGTAAACCTTTTATAACTTTTTGAACGGCTTGAACGATTGAAATGATCTAAGCGGATTTCCAAAGTTTTTCATGAAATTTAGATTTCCTATGAATTTTAACTAATTCGGACCGGTAGATTTTAAGAAATCTCAAAAATAAAAATTTAGAAAAAGAGGTTTTTTGGAATAACTTTTAAACGGCTTTACCGATCGATTACAAAAACTAATCAGATTTTAACCTTGTAAAACTACGTCGATCGCCGCCAGTACGGTCAAAACAGGTTGATTCGTTCGTGAGATATCGTTAATGAAAATTTTTGTTGGAGCGCTTTGCATTTAAAATTAGCGGTAAGTTCCAGGGATGGCCTGCAGGGTCAAAAAAAATTTTATGTGTGTTTTCCCACAACTTTTTTCTAGGTGAACCGATTTTGATGATTTTTGTGTGGTCCCATATTAATTTAATTAGATCTGAAAAAAAGTTTTTGAGTTATCTTTTAACATTGCGTATTTAAATGACTTCGAATACATTGATTCGGTCGTATTGGAGTCGGTTGTACAAAATTTTTAATTTTACCACTTGTTAAGCTACTTAAATATAAATATAGAAAACTGTTTACGAGTATCATCATTATCTAATTAAAAAGTTCCACAGTATTTTTATATAAAATTTAATACTTTCAGAATTCCAGTAAAGAACAGCGGGATCAAAGACATGCAGTCGATTGTAGCTCTGCCACACAAACCACACTGGGTAGCCGTAGTTGGTAATGACAAAGCTGGCATTCTAGATATTAAAACTAAGCGACATGTCAGGTTTGTAAATTCCTTATTTATATCAATACCACCAAAACGAGATAAAGAATGTAAACCAACTATTAAAATAGAAATAACAGAATATTTTTATATAATGTAGATATTACTTACACAACGTGTAACAAAAACCCTGTGGTTCCCGTTAACTGCATGATCAGAATCAGTATCCAAGCATACAGAAGTATTTTTTTTTTCAAAAAAACCCATTTAAAAAAATTAATGAAAAAAATAATAATTTGGAAATTGTATGTGATTTTATTATCTCTGCATTGGCCTAGGAGTAAAAGGATTATCAAAGACCCGGCATTACCGATACTCGTGTTTATTAATTTTTTTTCATTAAAATATTTTTTTATTTATGTTTTTTTGAAAAAAAAATATTTCTATACGCTTGGATACTGATTCTGATAACACGCTTAACGGGAACCACAGGGTTTTTGTTACATATTGTATATCCCTTTTCGCACTTATAAAATTCTCATCTTCTTTTTAATTAACTATTGATTTAGAAAATATATAGGTTCCTCTCTCCAGGAAGAAACTAGCAAGATAAGAAGATATAAGTAAAATATTGCACAGTAATGTCCTCCAGCCCGAATTTTGGTTAGGATAATCAGTCTAATCGGAGACTAGCAGGACAGAATTATATGTATGTACAAGCACAAGTGCACTCTCTTGTCCCTCACTCTCATAGTCTGATGAGATGGTAATCCAACACGACCGGAGAGAGATCACGCACATGACAAACGTATTTACGTGCTTCCGATGGGGGAGGGGGGGGGTGAAACACCGCCAACTTGGCTCTGACTCTGGGCTGCTACTGAGAATTTCTTGGCTAATAAACTTAATAACTATTTTTTGCTCGAATCTAGATTCGAACCCATGACCTCGTAATCAGAAGTCGCGTTTACGACCACCAAACCAACAAGGCAATAATAAAATTCCTCTTTTGAAACAGTTTTTTTACAGACTTCAAAAAGGAGGAGGTATTCAATTCGACTGAATGTTATTTTTGTGTGTGTGTTACCTCAGAACATTTTTCTGGGTGAACTGATTTTGAAGATTCTTCTTTTATTTGAAAGATTTTTTTTATTTTATAGAGTGATATATGATATATATATTAGATTTCTTTTATAGAGTTATCCTTAAATAAGGCGTATTTAATACACTTCGAATACATTATTTCGGCTGCATTGAAGTTGGTTTTACAAAATTTTAAATTTTACCACTTGTTTAAGGATATCTATATGATACTTATTGAATATTTTTTAGGTAGCCATAGTTACAATTAAGATGCGATTCTGTAGCCGACTGCAGGCAGCAGCAGCAAGCGACGTGTCGTCGCGACACAACTGGTTTCTATGTAGTTCTATTAAATACGTTCCGTAGCTAGCGACACGTCGTTTGACTAACGGCAGACGACACTAGCCCGACCGCAGATCAGAAGTTGAATTTTTCTTAAAATATGAGTTTTACCGATTCCGAAGAACAGAAACTGATGAACCAGGTGGCCCAAATCCTGCACTGTACGTTCCCTCACTTCAAATCAAATCAAATCAAATTCATTTATTTGCATAATACAGGTATAAGAGTTGTTACAAAAAAATTAGAATATGTACACTGTATTATTACCTTATGAGGTGTGTAATAATGGTGCTTTGAAATAAAATTAAGAAAAAGAAAAAAGAAAAAAATATTGTCAATAGTTGAGTCTATAGTGCTAATTGTTGTCATACTAAATACCTTGATGTTATATAAACTCGAAATTAAATATTTTTGATAATACGAATAATCAAATCCAAAATGTTGTCATACAAAATTTAAGTTAAATTATAATTTGATTAAAACTACTATTACAGATTTTATCGCGTTTTATTTATATTAATTTTAATACCAGACGTTTCGGGTGCTTTCCAGCACCCATGGTCACGGGGGACTGAGGTGACTGACGTCCCGCTGTCAAAGTTAACCCGGAGTACCTTCAGCTTTTTAATTATTGTCTTTGGTCCGATCTACGCAGAATGAACTAACTGTGTTTTGAAGTCTTGCAGTGGTATGCTTGGGTTTAGTTTTAATTTTATTAATTATAGGATCCCAAGCAGGTGGTAGTACCCAGCCTCCTTCTCTATTGAAATTAGGATGTTTTTTAATTTCAATAGCCTCACGTATCATCCTTGGTAGGAATCGATGTTCTTTCGGGAGGATTTGTGGTCTATCAAATCTGATGTAATGTGGTTGGAGCCATCTAGAATATGATCGCAAACTGCAGATTTCCCGGAACGTTGATGCTTCACGTCAGCTATGTGTTCTTTTACGCGGGTTCTAATTGATCTCTTTGTTTGCCCTATATATGAGAGACCACAATCACAATCAAGCTTTTACACTCCTGGATCTTGTAGAGGAATATGACACTTGACGGATGGTAAGAACTGACTAATCTTCTTCGGCGGCTTGTAGAATGTTCTAATAGAAGCTCGCTTCAAGATGTAGCCAATCTTGTCTGTGACACCTCTGACATATGGTAGTATAGCAGGTACACGCTCGACTGTGGCCGGCTTCACTCGGTCACTGTGACGGAGGCGCGGGACCCGAAGCTTGTTGTCGTGCAGAACCTGCTTGACGTGCTGAAGCTCGGCGGCCAGGTGTTTGCTCTCACAGATCCCTCGTGCTCTCTGAAACAAAGATTTGCCCACGGTAGCTAACTGTGAAGGATGATGGTGAGATTCACCATTTAAGTATCGCTTTGTATGGATCTTTTTTCTATACACAGTGTGACCTAAGGTGTTGTTAGGATTTCGGATGACTAACACATCTAGGAAAGCTAAGGAATTATTTGCCTCTAACTCCATAGTAAATTGAATTTTAGGGTTTATGGAATTAAGATGTTCTAAAAATGCAGTTACTTTGTCTGATGGTAAAATTGTGAAAGTATCGTCTACGTACCGCTTGTAGAACCTTGGGGTAACAGGTGCAGTAAGGAGGGCTTTCTCCTCAAAGTCTTCCATGAATATATCGGAGACAATGGGAGATACAGGTGACCCCATCGCAACACCATCTACTTGCTTGTAAAACTCTTCCTTCCACAATAGATAGCCAGATGTAAGGCAATGTCTTAGTAGTACTGCATATTCTGGTGGCATGTTATTTTCATCTAGTTTCCTAGTTATAATTGAGATGCAGTCTTCAACAGGTAGGCATGTAAATAGAGACTGAACATCAAAACTGACCATGGTTTCATTGTCAGTAAGATGTAGGTCTTTTATCTCACTGACAAAATGGTATGAATCCTTAGTATGTGCTCTTGTGTATCCTCTGAGTGGTGATAATATTTTGGCTAAGTGTTGAGCCAATCTGTACGTTGGCGAATCGATTTGACTCACTATTGGACGTAATGGAGCGTTAGGTTTGTGTATTTTTGGTAACCCATACAACTTGGGAGGTTTTGCACACGAAGGTATCATCGAATTGACTGATTAATTAGATCGCTAGTTGTTTTAAGCGTATTAGTTGTAGGGTCTTTAGAGGCCATACGCCAAGACATTCCGCCTTCACTCTCGACATGCCACACACTGTGCGTACCTGCCGGAAGATGGCTTTTGCCTCCGGCACGTTGGATAGTATGACTAGGGCAAGGTTGAATCTCTTGCCCGTTCTATTGTGCATTTTGTGCACGGCTTCCACGGGGGAAGCCTTGGGACTTAAGGTCCTCAAGTATCTCCTCGTTGGAGAATTCGAAAGGGACGCCTCGGATGACGGCCCTGACTTTACGCTCTTCCGGGAGAGCGTATGTGTAATATGAGACTCAGCTGTGAATAGCCTGGTGAGTTGACGGAAATCCTCGGTCGAGCTGGGGATGATTTTGATAGCCTCCCCGAGGTTGACGGCGTGGTCGTGCTTTATTCCTGCGTCGTAGCAGGTTTTGGACAATTGGGTGAATTTTGCCTTGTCTCTTAGGAACACAGGGGACGGGACTTGCTTCTTAGCAAGGACTGGAGCACATCGAGAGGATGGTTTTGTTGGAGTTGGGATGTCTAGTGACATGAGTGGGACGACGGCAGCGGCGGGGGCTGCGGAGGTTGTAGGAGCGGCAGGGGCCGCTGAGATAGGGGGGTACGTTTTAACGCGGCGCGCTTACCGTTGCGCTTGGAGTTGACGGTGGTAAATGTTGACTCCCCGGTTCCGTCGGAGTCATAGGACTCCGATGAACCGGAGCCTGAAGTGGTGGCGGGCCTCTTCCGGGAGGCCAGCGCCGAGGACTCGGAGCATGCGTACTCCATTTCTAAGGGGGCAGACTCAAGGGCGGCAAAGGAGTTCCTCGTTTCGAGGTATGTCGCGATTACTGGCGGCGGATGGTGTGCCTGAGGGGCAGGGAGGGAAGCCTGGGCGGCGATGGTGGCGATGGCGGCAAGGACCGTCTGATTGCCGTTTAAACCATATTGGTTTATGAGGGCGGCTAGGGACTCAGTGAAGCTGGATGTGGCCATTTTGGGGCAGTAAGCTAAGCTCGGTAACGATGAGGACGGGTCCCTGTTCTCGGTAGAACAGGGACTTGAACGCGAGACGTACTACGAGACAATATACACGTAATAATAAACAAGAACAAAAAGAAAGAGACAATACAAAAAAAAATGAAAATGAAGATGAAAATGAAAATGAAAATGAAAAAGCGGAGGTCAGTCAAACCTCCCTGTCCGAAGACAGGGGGGCAAGAGCTGTAAGCGTGAAGTGACTCACACTGCCAAGCGTGAGCAGGACAGCGGAGGCGCGGGAGCAGGATAGCGCTACCGTACTGGTACGAGAGCGCGGACCACCTGGAGGCGACCGTCGGAGAACGATGCCACCGGCGGAGTGAGCACTGCGTCGGCGCTGTACAGCGCGAGCGGGACAGCGGAGGCGCGAGAGCGGGAGAGCACTACCGTACGAGGACGAAAGCGCGGACTGCCTGGATGCGACCGCTCGGAAGCGATGCCACAGGCGTAATGATTTTGACTGTTGCCTTTATTGGCCGATTGTTCGGCTTTTATACTTTTTTTTAGAGAGCTCCGCGCTCGACGACGAATCTGAGATAAGAACGAGAAATTATTTAAATTAAAAGCAAAT